TTTTGAGTATGTTTAGGGTTGACTTGGGGTTTCATTTCAGGGGTTGATTTTAAGATGATTTAAGGATATTTAAGGTAGTTTATTTAGGGTTTGTGTACGTTTAGTGAACCATTTATTGCATGTCTATTTAGTTTTTGTCTCAGGGGTCCTTGAGGGGTCGTCCTGCAATTGTTGTTGCCATCTCTGGGGTGGGGTGGGGTGCGGCAACGACGCTCACTTGCCTTCGTAGCGTGCGGTACAGATGGTATGCTGTCAGGATTTGCGCACGCTACGGATGCTACGTTGACCATGGGGTGGGTTTGGGGTGGGGTGGGGCAATGATTTTCACTTGCACCGTGCACGCTACGGATGCTACGTTACTTTGCTAAACACTTTGGCGGTCAGCCTCCGGCCCGACGCACGCCCTCAAAACCCGAATCTTCAATTGCGCTGCTTGACTCATGTCGGCCGACCGGCACCCTGGCCCATGCCACGTATGACTTTCGCAAATGAATCACTAGCAACGATTTTGATGTTCAGTGGGTTGAGGTTTGGACCCAGGCCCATACTTGAAGTATCTCCAATTATAAATCTCAGATAATGTATGATATATTGTTGGCGATCCTGCTGTAAACATTCATAATTTGGTAAAACCAACCAGCCATGATTGGGGGTCATTTGACATCATCCCATTGCTGGGCTGTTTATTTGGGGGGTTCCATTTCAGGAACCATTTATTACTGGGGGAACCACAAAAAAAGTCAACTTTGATTAATCCAGGGTTCCCTGAAATAGTAATAAATGGATATAAATGGTGGTTGACAGTACCTAATTCTGTGACTATTGTGGGATTTATTACTATTAGGGGGTTGGCATTACCCAATTTCATAAGCTTCGGGATGCCATGCAGGTGACCCAGGTGACCAAAATCCGGGCGCGAAAAGCACAGAAGGCAGCGGGCACAGCTTGGGGCTTTCCAGATGCTTGATGCCAGGGTACTTATATGGTTCAAAAATCCGTAGAACATGTGAGTTTGTAAATATTTTCCAAAAAAAAGTACTATTGTGATTTTTGAGACAAACCCATCAGTTTAAATTTTCAGACAAAGCCATCTGTTTTATGAAAAATCTTCCACTTTGACAATTTACAAAATCAGCATCCCAAGTGGGGTCCCCTCTTGATGGATCAAGTTGGGTTCCCAGCGTAGTTTTCTTGACCATCTCACACCAACAGCTTTAATTATCAACTATTTTGGATCACCATATATCTGGGCCTATTTTGGATTTTAACTGTTCACCAGGGTCATTGGATCACATATATCTGGTGCATTTGGTATACCAGGGTATCAGGATTTTCATCAAATTGTTTTTTTGTTTTTTTCATCGTCAGGTCTCGTTGGCGGCTGCCTTCCGGCGCAAAGCAGGACTTGCGCAACTCGCCGGGTGGGCGGCAAAGCTCCGGGATTTCATGGGGTTATCAATTCTATACATCATAGAATTGTTAATATATATATATTTATCATATATATCCCCATAGATGTTAGTATAGATGGAATATCATCATGAGCTAATCCCCATAGAATACTATCCACATGAATATTGACTTGTTCATATTTCATACTGATCCACGCATGAGATACAACATGATACAGTGACACATCAGGAAGAACATGATTTACATTTAGGGCTTGCTAACCATCGGATGGGGGATGGCGCAATGGATTGATCCATAGAGTTCCACGTTTTTTTGTTTCGCCTCACATTTGCTGGTTTAACTGGTTTCCTAAAGTATACTGGGGATGGTATGGTAGCAAGTATACCAAGTATACCAAGTAGATTTACTCAGGACACACTGACTCAACTCCTTTTATTTGCTGAGGCATTTGCATGGACTGGTGGTGCATCCTCGATTGAAGTCGGCCTGCAGCCCTGGCTTCCAATGGCGTCATCCCGTCCATTCAAATTGGGGGATTTCCCATGGCCACGACCAGATGGGGGCCACATATTTAATATTTGGGTATAGGAATAGGTCCCATTCAATCACATAAATCACAGGAGGTTTTGGTTCAATTTCAGATAAAACAAGCATCTTTTATCTGTGATTCATGGAGAAGTTGGATTTAGATTCGGTGATTCATAGGTCATAGGTATAAACTATAAACCCAGGGGCCCATGATTCGCTTGGATCCCCATTTTGATATTCGACAAAAAAGGGAATGCCCATGATATCAACATGTTATCACCATCACCATTTTCCTGTGCCGTTTTGATTCCCATTGATTCCTACTAATTCCCATATTATCACCACTAGTACCACCAGATAATCCCATTGTATCCCATGAATTTTCATGAAGTCCCACTATATCATCATGAAATATCACCGTTTTCCTATCGGGTCGGGTCCTCCCCGTTTGCCTATCATATCATGATGATTTCCCATGAATTTCCATGAATTCCCAGCAATTCCCCTTGTTTCATCCAGACTTCCAATCCAAAATCCCGGCTTGGCCCCCGGCGTCGCTGAGGCTGCGGTGCGCTACTCTGCCGAGGTTACCATTGACCGTTTGAGGCTCTTGACCAAGGAGCACCACTGCCTGGAGGCAGCTGCGGATTGCGCCGCTGCGGATTGCGGATGAAGGAATTTGGATGTGTTTGGGTATAATCCAGGTAGATGTTTTTTATGGAAAAATCATGAAAAATCCATGCAGCCAACTAAGGTTGATGGAAAAGTTGGAAAGCTGGAAGATATGGAGGAAAAATCAGGCATAACATCCTGACTTCACACTTTTCAACATCTTTTTTTTGGGTTTCTGTCAGCAAAACCATTGGAGAGTATGTTGAGATTGGGCTTTGATGTTCAAGAATCGATTGTTTTTTTGCGTAAGTGGTGAAGTCTCTATATAATTATAGTTTAAAAGTAATATGTACTAGCTATGGTACTATATATATATATATATATATGGATTTTTCATGATTTTCCTATCTATATACTTGTTGGTAGTGGTTATGACACATAACTACTGTCGTTGCTGGACTAAGCCATAGTATCTTTCATTCGAGCGTTACCCAACACAGAAATCGCAGTTGAGAAATGTCTCTTTTTGGGTCTAAGCTGTCCAACTTAGAAACCTTAGAAACCTGACAAAAACCATGGCGTTGTGTCCCATGGTCGAGGATTCCCATGGGGTTTCTGCATTCTTGATACTTTATGATACTTTATGATACTTTATGATATGCAAAACTATAGCTAAAAAAAACTATGGTTATTTTGATATTCGACTGTTGAACGATGACTATTTGTTTTTTTTTCCCCAAGTCCTGAGATTTGGGCGGGAACATCGGCGAGCCACGGGCTGTTGTTGTTTGGTCAAGACTGAGTTGATATGACGACATGGGAATGATGGTTTTACTAATCATATGATCAATGTGGCATCATCCCACTATCATGACATGGATTAGTAATCCCATCATTCCATTTTCTTGGATTAGTAAATGGAATGATGGTCTAGTCATGGGTAAATAGTCATGGTATGGATTAAGGTCAATAAACATCGTCGCGTTGCGATCATGGGATCATGACATCATCCAAGCTGATCAACATCCGCCAGGGGATGGATGAAGCCATCCCACCCCATCACCAGATGGGTCACATCCCCTGCAGGTGGTTCAGGGTTTCCGTTCGGCGCTGGCACCTTGGTTATGCAGTGGTTTTTTGAACCAGAATGTGAAACCTGGATGATCATTTACATGGTATTTACGTCATTCCAGGTTTCCCATTTTTCGCTTGACGCTTTGTTTTTTTTTTAAACCTAGTCAGTGACTATTTCTTCCATAAACGGGTTGTTGTGCTTCCAAGACTTAAACATGGGAACTTGATTTGATGGACAGATCTCTACTGATGGGATGGAACATTGGCAATGAAAAGAGCTGATGGGCTAAATCAAATATGGCAGTTGGAAAAACTAGAAGCACTTACCATCCTGAATATGAGAAACACTTGCAAGATCTTGTAACTTTGGGGACTTTCCATTACCGACTTCACCAGAGGGTGCCCATGATTCCTTGAATATTCAAGGCCAAGAACCGGTGCCCAGGTTGACATGAAGAAGCGCATGGAGGGTGTGGGCCAAGCTGCTTTTGAAGCGAGGCGGCTGCGGCTGGGAAGATTTTTTGGGTGATTGATTTGTGATAGATTTGTTTCCTAGTGATAGGAACTGATAGGATGACAGAGATTCCAGGAGCGCCACGTGCTCCGAAAAGGTTGGGAACACCAGAAACTTGATGGTTGGTCAGTTGGTCATCATGTTCCCCGAAAACATCGCCATTTTGGTTGTGTCCCCAGGGTCCCCAGGGTCCCCAGGGTCTGTGCCCGGCTTCAGATTCCGAGAAGTGCTTGCAGCCTGTTTGGCAGAACACCAGCTACAGCCTCGCGTGAGATGCCAAGACACCAATTTTCATGGGGGCACCTCAAATCAACTAACAAACATCAGAAAAATCATATGGGCTTTGTCTGAAAATGAAGGATTTGCCCTTAAAAATGGCTCTATTGTCATCCATTGGTGGGTGAAAAAATCGGGGGTTCCCCCCAAAAAAATCAGGTGACGCCAAATATCACATTCATGACTTCGCACTGTTAATCCCATCAAAGCATCAGTTAATCCCATTCAATCCCATAAATTCACCATGAAAAATCCCAATAGAAGCCCATGAAAACATCATTAATTCGCATTAAATCCTATCAAACCACCATAGAATCCCATGAAATCCTGATAAGATCCCATGAAAAAACCACCATGGAAAATCCCATGAAAACATGAAAAATCCCATAGGATCCCATGAAATCCATAGCATCACCATGGCTCCCAGGCGATGGGTCTCCGATTCTGCGTGCTCTTGGGATCACTGTGGCTCCCCAGGCGTAGCTCCAGGGGACCGTGGGCAAACATGGGAGATTTTAATGGGATTTCATGGGAAAACATGGGATATTTAATATATTTTAATATGGGATATTTTATGGATCATATTTTGGACATTTATGGGAGATACAAACTTTTTCTGTGATGGGCTGGGTGATATTGATGGGATATAGCAACGCATGGTTCCAAAACTATGGACTGTTAATGGCGATTTCATGGGAATACGAATGGATACAGACAGAACGATGGGAATGAAATGGGGATATAGGAGTCCTATAGGGTTTTTGATGGATGGAAATGAATGGGGTTATAATGAGAAATAACAATGATATGGGCATAGGGGTATTTATGGGGTATTTATGGGGTATGTAACTATGTATCAATACCTGGTTATCAGAATCCGATAGTTTTTTTTTGGAATATTTCACAATGATGGGAGAAATGGATATGGTGGGATGAAAACATGAAATTACCCTCTGGTAAACATACAAAAAACTATGGAAAATCACCATTTTCAATGGGAAAACTCACTGTAAATTGCCATTTTCAATAGCTATGTTAAATTACCAGAGGGTAAAGGAAGTGGATATTCCCAGAGATTCGTGGCTTTGAAAATGGGCTAGCCCAAACATCCAAGGTATTGGGCATTGTCGGGAAATCCTGACTCTTAGCCGAGTCAGGGACGAACACTGCTTGTTTGGGGTAATTTATGATGATTAATTAACATACTATGGTTACATACCAATAATTATATAATACCCATAATTTACATACTATGGTAGTTACATAGCAAAAAACATGATTTGATGATTTCATGGGATTTTTCCATAGGACATGATGATACAATGTGCCTCTGATGGGAGGTTTTATGGGGATAAAAGGGGAGAAGACGCCTAACATTACGACCAACCAAGCATTGAAACTTGAGGGGATAACAGCGCGCAGGATACACAACAAGCATCAAACCGCCCCCAATACATCCAAATACATCAAACAATCCAGCAGCACATCAGACATTAGATTATGATTGATTGTTGTGATGTAACAATATAAATCCGGCCGATGTGGCTCTGGGAAGCAAGACCAGCACAGCAAGCGCACACAAGCTTAACGTTCAAAAGCAGTGGTAGATACAATGTTTTTTTTGCATATCCACCGTCAAAAAACATTGCTAGCTGCAGTGTTGTTCTGATTTTCACATTGCAGCGAAACGTTGCCCGCAAAGCAAAACACGTTGTAAGATACGGTCATTTCTTCCGCCAGCCCATTGACACATGAAGAAAATGATCGAACATCATGCTTATCCATCTTGTAAAATTTCGGGCACTCCCAAAAAACATATAGCATTATCATTTTTGCAGTGACTTTTGCGCCTCCCGAAACATTTCCCAACCCTAAACTGAGTCACCCACGTAGCGAAAGCTAGAGGCATCTCACCCCGCTATGCGCTAGGTAAACATGGAGTAAGATTTTAAAAATCAAGTAGTATATCAGTCATCAAAGGAAGTTTCATCTAGAGACCCCGAGGTACGGGGAATAACATGTGGGTTAGTTGAGAAAGTGTAGAGAAGAGTTGAGAAGAGTTGCGAAGAGTTGAGAAGAGTGTTGAGAAGAGTGTTGAGAAGAGTCTTGAGAAGAGTGTAGAGAAGAGTGAAGAAAGTTGAGAAGAGTTGAGAGAAGTGCAGAGTGGAGGAGAGGAGAGTAGAGAAGAGTAGAAAAGAGGAGCGAACTGTAGAGAAAGAAGTTTAGAGAAAAGAAGGGAAGAGAGTAGAGTAGAAAAGAGTAGAGAAGAGTATAAAGTATAAAGTAGAGTAGAGAAGTGTAGGGAAGAGTAGCGTGGGGCAAAGTAAAGTCGAGAAGAGTAGAGAAGAGTAGAGTAGAATAGAATACAGGAGCGTTGACTTAAGAAGAGTTGAGAAGAGTGTTGCGAAGAGTAGAGAAAGGACGGGCAGAGAGTAGAGAAGAGCAGAGAAGAGTAGACGAAGAAGTAGAGGAGAGTTGAGAAGAGTGTAGAGGAGAGTTGAGCAGAATGTAGAGAAGAGTTCAGGCGAGTGTAAAGTAAAGTAGAGCAGAGAAGTGTAGCAAGTGATCCATTGATGTAAAATGTCGCAAGTGAACCTCCAAAGTGCGGCAAGGGATCCAAAATGTCAAAGTGTCGCAACAAAAGTGTTGGCCCAGTGCGGAGCAAATGCTGTCAAGGCGCGGCCTGCGATGGTTTCGAAAGAAAAACAATTTTGTCAAATTTGGCCTTGATGATTGCGCTCTTTTGTCGCATGCAAAACTACATTCCATATGCGAAACACGGCATTCAATCGAAGGGGGCAATATAGAGGAAAAGGTAGAGAGAAGGGCCGCGAAGTCTTTTGGTTTGTCCTGCCTTGCATCAATGCACAAATCCAATGTGAATCTCAAGTGTGTAGATTTAGCAGCAACCTTGAGTCTAGCAGCATATATCTTTGCCGTCCAGCAAGAAAGACAGCAAGATCCTCATAACGAAATTAGCAACTTCAGTATTCCAAACCTTATGAAGAACATGATGGCAGAGAAATCAGCATCGCGAAATCGCGGCGTCGCTTTGTTGAAGCGGCTGCGTTTTTTTCTTAAAGGTTGTAGTATTTGTAGGTTGTCCCTGAGCGTGTTTACTCCGTGGCCCGCGATACGGTGGTGCACTAATGAGAAGCAAAAAAACAAGCGTAGGAAAAGACACGGTGCTTGTGCAGGAAACGTGGTTTCAGGATCTTGGTTGCTGAAATGATGCATAAAAGGGCGCCCTGCGGTGCTGTGAGTGAAGACGCGTGCATGCCGTGATGGTGGGAGTGTAAAGATGCATTGTGACGAAGGGAGTGGGTGTTAAGGGTGCGTGACATGCCTACGCGAACGCCAAGCCGGTGCGCAGCATTGCGCAGCGGTGTCGCGCTGGGAGGAGTGAGCACGCGAAAAAGTGTGGGCGCGGTGCTTTGACCATGTTAGGAATGAACGTCTTGGGTTTAGTGTGGGATAACAACGCTCTACGATGGCGACATGCCTGTCGGGGGCGTGGTCCTGCTTATTATTGTGTTTTCATGTGTTTTCGATGGAAGGCACAATTTTTCCTTACGATTTTTTGCAATAACCAGATTCGTTTTTTATTGTTTAACCAATTGGATAATTAATGGAACAATAATCAACATGATTAAACAATAATGGAACTTGTAATTAAAAACACATAAACAATTAAATTGCTCAACGCTCAGTTCCACCCTGGAGTTGCAATGATGTCCCGACAATGCCTGGGAGAGGCCGCTGGCAACGCCTCCGTTTCTGGCTGAGGGCCAGGCAGGGGATACCATGGTGATCCATGGTGCACATGGGGTACCCGTGGTCCAGGCCCCAATCTTCACTGGGAAGATCCACCAATTTGCAATTTTTTTGTCCACCTAAAGAACCGCATTGCCCAGATTTTTTCAGATTGTTTTACCCGTTTCTTTTAATTTCCCTCAAGTTTTAGATAGTGTCAAATTGTTCCAGTTTTCCATTGATTTATCCAATTTCCCAAATTTCCAGATTTTCCAATCAATTTTTCCGTGGTTTTCCATTGATTTCCCATTGATTTCCCATTGATTTCCCATCCCCGCAGGCCTTGGACGCAGGGCTTTGCGCTTGGCGCCGCCTTGGAGAGGCCCGTGGCCGAGTGCTGCGGCGTGGCTCGGTGCTGCAGGCGGGGCCATGGATTTTTTTTCAGGGGATATCTGGTTGATATTAAGGCTATCCTAATCTGGGATATCAATGGTTAATGATGTTGGTGACATTTTCATAATTAGAGTTACTATAGTTACTATAATATCAATGGTTGATATACCCCATTATGATTGATATTAACCATGGTTGATACTAACCATATCTGGTTGATTTTTTTTCATGGGATATCTGGCTATCCTAATCTGGGATATCAATGGTTAATGATGTTGGTGACATTTTCATAATTAGAGTTACTATAGTTACTATAATATCAATGGTTGTATACCCCATTATGAATGATATTACATGTTTGATGACTAACCCATATCGGGTTGATTTTTTTTCATGGGATATCCTGGCTACCTCATCTGGGATTCAGGGTTAATGATGTTGGTGACATTTCATAATTGAAGTTACTATAGTTACCTATAATCTCAATGTTGATATACCCCATTATGATGATATAACCATGGTGTGATACTAACCATATTCTGGTGATTTTGTTTTTTCATGGGATTTATCTGCTAATCCTAATCTTGGATATCAATGGGTAATGTGGTTGGTGACATTTTTTCATAATTAGAGTTCCTATATTCTATACTATCAATGGTTGATATACCCATTATGATTGATATAGACCCACATGTTGATACTAACCATATCTGGTTTGTTTTTTTTTTCATGGGAGTCTGGGCTATCCTACTCTGAGGTATCAATGGTTATCATGTTGGGTGACATTTTCATAATTAAGTTACTAGATTACTAGAATATCAAGGTTGATATACCCCATATTATTGAATTAACCATGGTTGATACTAACCATATCTGGTTGATTTTTTTCATGGGATATCTGGCTATCCTAATCTGGGATATCAATGGTTAATGATGTTGGTGACATTTTCATAATTAGAGTTACTATAGTTACTATAATATCAATGGTTGATATACCCCATTATGATTGATATTAACCATGGTTGATACTAACCATATCTGGTTGATTTTTTTTCATGGGATATCTGGCTATCCTAATCTGGGATATCAATGGTTAATGATGTTGGTGACATTTTCATAATTAGAGTTACTATAGTTACTATAATATCAATGGTTGATATACCCCATTATGATTGATATTAACCATGGTTGATACTAACCATATCTGGTTGATTTTTTTTCATGGGATATTTGGCTATCCTAATCTGGGATATCAATGGTTAATGATGTTGGTGACATTTTCATAATTAGAGTTACTATAGTTACTATAATATCAATGGTTGATATACCCCATTATGATTGATATTAACCATGGTTGATACTAACCATATCTGGTTGATTTTTTTTCATGGGATATCTGGCTATCCTAATCTGGGATATCAATGGTTAATGATGTTGGTGACATTTTCATAATTAGAGTTACTATAGTTACTATAATATCAATGGTTGATATACCCCATTATGATTGATATTAACCATGGTTGATACTAACCATATCTGGTTGTTTTTTTTTCATGGGATATCTGGCTATCCTAATCTGGGATATCAATGGTTAATGATGTTGGTGACATTTTCATAATTAGAGTTACTATAGTTACTATAATATCAATGGTTGATATACCCCATTATGATTGATATTAACCATGGTTGATACTAACCATATCTGGTTGATTTTTTTCATGGGATATCTGGCTATCCTAATCTGGGATATCAATGGTTAATGATGTTGGTGACATTTTCATAATTAGAGTTACTATAGTTACTATAATATCAATGGTTGATATACCCCATTATGATTGATATTAACCATGGTTGATACTAACCATATCTGGTTGATTTTTTTCATGGGATATCTGGCTATCCTAATCTGGGATATCAATGGTTAATGATGTTGGCGACATTTTAATAATTAGAGTTACTATAGTTACTATAATATCAATGGTTGATATACCCCATTATGATTGATATTAACCATGGTTGATACTAACCATATCTGGTTGATGTTTTTTCATGGGATATCTGGCTATCCTAATCTGGGATATCAATGGTTAATGGTGCTTAATGGGGATATCAATGATTAATGATGGTTAATGATGGTTATACCCTCTGGCTATACAATGGGATATAGCTATTGATGGGATGGTCATGGTATACCATGGTTATATCATATGATATTCCGTAATTTAGAGTTACTATAGTTGGTAATATTTAAATGTACTAATATCAGATGTCACCAGCTATAATTATGGAATATCAATGGTAACTATATAACCTGGTTGATGGTTTGGAACCATGGAATTTTATGACTTTCCATTCAGTTGGGAATGGAATAATCATACCAACTGACGAAGTCATATTTTTCAGAGGGGTAGGCATACCACCAACCAGATATGCTATACTGCTATACAATTAAAATTCTCACATACTTAGCGCCGTTGTTTTTATGTCGTACAATTGTTGATGCATCTAATGGGTATGTACAATATATGTATATATTTATATACATAGATATCTACATGACCATCTACATGCATACCATATTTACAATGATTTTTTGGCTGACGATCATTATCCTCTCTGGTTTTGAGGCACCTCGGAGTACAATCAACTGAGCGGTTTCACGAGAAATTTCACGCCCGTAATGTGTGTAGTATCTGGTCTGTTGGGGGCAAACATGATCGGGGCGTTTGCTCACACATGCATCTACTGTATACCTATCATACAACCTATTAAATATATATAGCCAAAAATGCAGATGGATTGTTTAAATTTGGGTATGCGGTATACGGTATATCATATTGGGGAACTGACCGATATAAGAGTTGTAAAGCTCACATCAAGAACAGCACCGTTTGGAAGGTTCTCCCTGCCATAGCCCACACAGACATCAAAGCATGTGACGCACCGTTGTATCATGATATCGCATCACTATCCCAACAGTATCAGAATTAACAAAAAGAACATATACAATATACCCCTTGCAAAATAGATCCATCATATCCCTTGTCAGATCGAGTTTGGCACTGCGGTTTATGTGCGCATTACTACAGCATTACAGCACTGCAACACTATAGCACTACAGCATTACACCAGTACATCATTACATCACTACGTGACTGCATATCATGAAATCGTTGTATCAGTATATCACGATATCATTATATCACTATACATATCCACCAAACCTGAACATGTTTTATGAGATACCGGGATTAGCCATTCACACTACCACCAGGGCACGATATCACCGGACACCGGAACATTCCATGATGTGATTACATAATATATCAGGTCCCTATACATTTTGATTTGCATTGCGTATCTACGTAGAAAAACCCCATTCTCAATACATAATCCTCATTATATGGTTATCCATCAAACCCCAATCATAGAGATGGTCACTCAACAAAAGTGGTCCGGAGCTGGTGGTAAGATAAGATACACCCTATAATAAAACCACCAAAGCATATGGTTATCAATACCAGTGGGTTTATTATATAGGTATTGTAATACCATTTTGAAACCATTTGGCGATTATTGCCATTAGTATATTTTTCTTAAACCCCAGTAAACACCATACAACCCCAACAAGCCCAACAACAACCATGTGGTTTACCGTTTGAAAAAAAACAATCATTATTATTGTTTGTTGTTGTTGTTGTGGTTGTTGGTTGTTGGTTGTCGGTTGTCGGTTGTTTGTTGTTGCTTGTTGTTGTGTGCTGCTGTTGTTGTTGTTGTGCTGTTGTTGTTTGCTGTTGGTGTTTGCTGTTGGTGTTTGCTGTTGGTGTTTGCTGTTGTTGTTTGCTGTTGGTGTTTGCTGTTGTTGTTTGCTGTTGTTGTTTGCTGTTGGTGTTTGCTGTTGGTGTTTGCTGTTGGTGTTTGCTGTTGGTGTTTGCTGTTGTTGTTTGCTGTTGGTGTTTGCTGTTGTTGTTTGCTGTTGTTTGCTTGTTTATTTATTTGTTTGTTTGTTTGTTTGTTTTGCTTCGTTTATCTTTGTTTCTGATTGTTGTTGTTGTTGTGGTTGTGGTTGTTGTTGTTGTTGTTGCTGTTGTTGTGGTTGTTGTTGTTGTTGTGGTTGTGGTTGTTGTTGTTGTTGTTGTGGTTGTGGTTGTGGTTGTTGTTGTTGTTGTTGTGGTTGTGGTTGTGGTTGTTTGTTGTTGTTGTTGTTGTTGTTGTTGTTGTTGTGGTTGTGGTTGTTGTTGTTGTTGTTGTGGTTGGGGTTGTTGTTGTTGTGGTTTGTGTTGTGGTTGTGTTGTTGTTGTTTGTTGTTTTGTTTGTGTTTGTTGTTGTTGTTGTTGTTGTTGTTGTTGTTGTTGTGGTTGTGGTTGTTGTTGTTGTTGTTGTGGTTGTTGTTGTTGTTGGTGTTGGTGGTGGTGGTGGTGGTGGTTGTGGTTGTTTTTTGGTTCTTTTTGGTTGGCTGTTTGTTTTTGATTGTTATTGTTGTTACCATTATCAGCTTTTGTTTATCATCATTGAAAAACATGTTATCATTATCATTACCATATTATGTGTTTTTACATGAATCGTTTTATGATTATCTGATTATGGTTGGAATTACAGCAGCTGCGCAGGTTCAGAGTCCCGACGAGATTGCTGCCACCTGGTCGCGCGTGCGTTGCGCCTACTTGGACGCTGTGGCGCCCCACCGTGGGTTTGGGCATGGCCTGGATGTAGTGGAAATTTCTAGTGATTTTGGCAGATGTTATAGCGGAAATATGGATTATAGATGGATTATAGATGGTTAAATGAAGTTAAATGATGAACCATGGGGCAAAACTTGGGAATTTGGCATAAATTATGATGAACACATTGCCAGATGTTGGGTTTCCCCCATTTTTTGGTGGCCCATGTTTCGAAGCATCGTTCAAAAGGGCCAGAAATGGCCAACAACTTTCACCGGAGGCAGCAAGCAGTGCTGGCAACAAACGAAAGGCCATTGAGGCCTCCGTGTTGGGATGGGCGTCCCAGGGGCCAGGGGCTTTCCTGGTTCCGAAAAAAGGGTTTCGCCAATGAGACACCGATCCCAAATGACAACGAGATCCTCCAGTAAATAAGGATAGATTTGGAAAACACATGGTGCCAATGAACATAACATTCATGGTTGGTTTTCCATATCACCTGGTATATTTACTGGAGGGTACACCCCAACAACATGGTCACGATTAGTGCGACAGATCCCCACTGACTGGTCATCACTGGAGGGTATATCACCCTATCATGACAGATTTTCCAAAAAAATATCCCGTTATGGATGGTACTAGTATACCATGAAAATCATTATAGACCTATATAGACACAATTTTAATAGCCCTATTTTATTCGTTATATCAAATATATAGAATGGATATATCTATTCATGTTATCATATATTATATATAATAAATAAATAAAAATATATATCATTATATAATTATATATATACATACATCATTATATATATATTTATACCCCATTATCTATATATATATATGTATATAATTACATCTACACTTACATATTCACATACACACCGACCCTTATCTTTTGCCAATTCTATCCATCAAACATCTGCGACCAGGCCGCAGCGCGATTGCAAGTCTTGGAGGCAGCGCAAGCAGGCGCCAACGTCCGTTTTTCGCGGTCTGGAAGTGGGTTGAACAACGACGGAAAAACGGAGATTTACTACAATTTAATGGACATGGAAATGATGGAGAAACATTAGAATGGATTATTTACTACTATTTGGAAGTAATTTTCCAATCGCAATGTTTTTTTTTTTCCGGTAATGAAACATAGCAATTGGAAATGCCCTGCAAAAGGACTTCTAGATAGGACAACCATGAAAGTAAATTTACTAAATGGGAGATTTCCATTGCCATGTTTGATTGCCAGAGGGTAAGCATTAAATTCATGAACAATTGCCTAAAAGTGGCGATGTGAAACACTTCGTTGGAGGAAAACCATGAAAATCATGTGGATATGATTTTTGGACTTTAATGATAACCAACATAGTATGATAGTTGGGTGTGTCTGAAAGTGAGGGTCTGCCCCATGGGTCAAATGTAGGAACCCTTATATTTAGGGACAAAGACCATGGTTTCCCCATGGTTTCCTGTCCACTTTCCCAACAATCGCTCCACCGTGTTAGCGCCCAAGGCCAACGAGAAAGGCAGCTGGAACGCTGGAATCGTCGACGAATGGCGCAAGAAGAGGCGGTTAAAGTTTTCCCGAAAAGAAATGGTGAAGATCCGATTTTTTCAGGGTATCAGCCATCAATCAGCCATCAATCAGCCATCAATCACTTACCCTATGGTTATTTAACATAGCCATAGATGGTTTACCTATTAAAAATGGTGATTTTCCATCGCTATGTTAAATAACCAGATGGTAAATGGTATAAATGGTATCAATGAATGCCTAATTCCCATGCCGAGCATCAAGTATTTTTATGATATCAACCAGAAATTACCATTGTTTTGCAGACTGCTTGCCAGTTGAGCCGGAAAAGGCCTAGTGTTTTCGTGGACAGTGGCCTTGTCTCAGGGTGGTCAAGCTTAGGATTTCTGTCCATGAACTACTGACCAAATACATCGTTGGCCAAAAGACAGGGCTTAGAAGTGAAGTGTAAATACTTATCTGGTTGGTGGTTTGGATCATTTTTTATTTTCCCCAATAGTTGGGATGATGATCCAATCAGACTATATAATATTTTTCAGGGGGCTAGGTATACCACCAACCAGTTATACATGGATTATTGTACTGACCATACGCTAGTTTCCACATATATTTTCTTCAATGAAGTATAGCAACATTGGATGGGTCGGCGGCTCCCTTCAAAGGCCACGCAACGTCGCAATCCACGAGCTGGTGCCAATGAGATCTTGAAGCGTGTGGATCAGCTTTTGCAGATGTGGTCCAGGCAAGATGGGATTTTCGGAGAGATTTGTCGATTGGGATTCTTTCCAGTGGTTTTGGAGTGGACTCTGACAATGTCACAATCAATGAGTTCTCCTATGGATCCAATCAGTCTAATCATGGAATTTGATGGCCTTTCAGTGGATTTCTCCTCTCGAAAGTTTTGAGCTGATTTTGGTGCAGGCATTCAATACCAGAAATGTGATTTTCAATGAGAACTATGCAGGAAGGAGAAGAAAAGGGCGCGCTATACACATTGATATCAAGATCGGGTGGACTCTACTGTTCGATCAGTTCCGAAGAATCGATCTATACATTATTTGATTGCAATTATTCAAAATCGATATTATAAGACTATAAGTGTTCATTCAGACATAAAACATGAACTATGGTCAAAATTCTGGTGGACCACTTAGGGAGGGCTCATTTGTGTCTGGAGAGTGCACCAAACACTGTGGTTTTATACAAAATTCCGTGCAAAAGGCGAAAAATTCGCCATACGCCAGCGATGCAGGGATGCCCATCGGAAAAGTAGCCTCAGACCACCCTGTCCTCCTTTCCTTTCCTCTTTCTTTCCTTTTCATGTCCTCTTTTTTAGTCCTTTTCCTTTTGTCCCTTTTCCCTCCTTTCAGATTTATCATGCATTATTCCTCTATTTTCATAGCAAAATCATTAACAATGGGATTCCCCCCTTTAAAACGCCATACATTCTTTTTGAGACCGAAAATCATCGGTTCGAACAATATTCCAAGATTCTGGAGGTCGACCGCTACACACTGAGACGGTCATTTGATTTTCCCCCGCCGTTTTCTTGTCCTGTTGTAAATGGATGAAATTCTGTCGAATATAGTAATATTGGAAAATAATATATTTTATTAAAAAATTATATTTTTAACATTTCTGAATTATTACGAATTCTTGATTTTTTTTTTTTTTCACATAGGAATAATTAACGACGAATAATATATAATTAACGATTAATATTGGAAAATAACATATAAAGGAATAATAGAGGAATTACTATAAATAATGAAAAAAAAATATAAAATGAAGAAAATTGGTTGTATTGGATTAATTATAATATATTTATAAATATAATAAATATATTTTATTAATATTTTTATTTTAAAATTTTAATTTAAATTATCTTAATAATTATATTAGTAGTATTATATAAGGGAACATTTAAATATAAATAATTATAGGAGAGGTAAATTATTATAATATATAAATAATATAAAGAATTTATTAATAAATTGAAACATGAAAGAAATTATATTTTTTAAAATAATTATAATTATGGTTATTTTTTACAATTATTGAATGTAGTGTGGTATAATATAATTATAGGTATAGGTATAGATATAAATAAATTTGGTTATGATTATATTTATAATATAGAAATAATTATAATTATTTTTATTATTTTTTTTTTTTAGATTTGAAAATTATTTTCGAGGAATTTGTAGCCTGAAAGCTGTGTGCCTTAGGTACACATGGCTCGGAACAACAAAAAGTGGCATGGTTTGCTTATACATTTCATAATTAAAATAAACATATTATCTTCTAAAATATGAATAAAATATGAGCAGAATGAAAGCAACGCGAGACATAAATAAAATCTGTGCAAATCGTGAACAAATACGAATAACCCATTCTTGATAACAACATTTCACAACAAAAAATCATTTAATATAATTTTCCCTCTAATTCACCACCTTAAACAAAATAAAAACATTCAGACTTGACATTCTGTGGTTAAATATCCAGACCAGAAAATATAAATAGTAAACCAATACGGCACAAACATTGAATTTGGAAAAAATTATGTCAAATGGGAATTGCAATGAGGTATGTTGAAACAAAACATCTTATATTACTGGTATTACTATATAAATTCCCGGCGGTAAATTTTATTAATACTACAAACCCTCGGTTGTAGAAATTTCGGCAAAATTATAAAATCCACGACCGGCGAATCCTCGGTATTGCTATAAATCCTCG